GTCAAGGAGCTTAGCAATAGTTTTTGCTAAAAAGTAACATGACATCATGTAAACGCACCACCTAACCAAACAAAATTACATTTTAACTTTTAGCCAACCTAAATTGACCAAATATCAAATACTAAATTTACCCCTTTTTTCTCTCTTAAAATTATGTTTCCCTTTTTCAAAACTCAAAAAGTATTCATGACCGTTCTTGGAGAAATTTCTCATCCTTAAAACTTTTGAAAAACAAGATCGTCCCTCTATTCTTTCCATTAGATCTTAAAATCGTTTCCCCATCCATTTCCAATTAACACCTGTTAATTTTGAAATCTTGGCAACTAATTAAATGAAAGACTACTTTGGTTACCAAAATGTGGGGATTACAAAACCATCGAAGTGAAGGTTGAGGTCCAACATTTACTTCGAGTCAAAATTTGGGGATAACAAAAAATTTACCTATATAACAATAAGAAAACAGAAATCGTGGAAAAAGTGTTGAAGAAATGTTTAAAAAGCATGTGAAGTTAACAGTGATGGGCTGTCCCCTGTCTGCCCCCTTCTTCAAGTTGATAGATGAAGTAGACGAGTCTAAGAGACTGAGACCACACAGTCCACACCTGAATAAAGATCTTATCTTCATCTTATCAAACACCACACAGATATCAAGTTAGAAAAAGCTGTGTGAATCACTCAGTTTCGTAGAGATTTGGAAGTTAATTTGTATTCTACTGTAACAGGATAGGATCCAACGCAATGTAAAAATGAATGAACTGAGCTAGACTAGACCAATAACTACTTGTTGTCTAGTTGGGTGAAAGGCGAAGGAAGCTGATAAATACATGTAAATTGATTTTAAAATATTTTAATTAATTTAAAAAATTATTATAATAGATAAATAGATAATATTATTTTTGTTGTTTCTTAATTGCTTTTCCCTCCCGTAAATATTTTAAAAATATAATATTTAATATATTATCCATTGTCATATTACTTTTTAATCTAAAACGATTTTTTCCTTTTTTCTAAACTAGTATGAAAACTTAACGCAACGTATCAAATTAGATTGTTGATCAAAAGTCCATTAATTTTTCTAAAGATATTTCGCATCATTAACTATATGACACGATCCGCCCGTTTTAGCCTAATAGCTTTGACCTTAATTTAATGTTGATCATTTCTTATGAACCGTGTATTTAAGATCCATAATTTCATTTTTTTAATTAATTAATAAATATAATTAATTTCAATATGTTCCAAAATAAAATTAACTACATGAGACTGCAATCTTAACCTTCTAACAACCTCATATTTCCTTATTTTCTCTTCTCATCCTGTATAATTGATGAAGTCATATTTTAATCTTTTAATCATTGAATATGTAATTTTTTTGGGCTACGTATAATAGTGCCATTCAGGAGAGAAAGCTTAAAGACATAGACACGCCAAGGACTCCATTATTCTAGTTTTGCTCGGGTTGGGGGAGTTATGTGAATATGAAGATCGTAGCATAAATCCACACCTCTCCGAATTAGTGAAGGAAATTGAAAATTGATTTCACCAAGTCAACTCTGT